TGATGTTGATGATAACGACGATGATAAATTTGTAGGAAAAAGTAAAATTAAAATTATGGTGACAAAGCGAGGAACTGAAAAAATACTTTCAAACAAAAGTAGGTTCAAAGCGAATAAGGAAACTTGTACAACTAAACTGACGATATTTCCATTGACTTTTCATTTCCCATTAAAACATTCAATAATAAGTATTTCAGACATTCACGTACAAATCGTTAAAAAATTATGAAATCCTCTATCTATCTTAGCAGGGGCCGATGGAAATGCCGGCTTTGTGGTAATTTTGGCAACTAAGAAGAAAGACATCTTTCTTTTCTACAGTTTTCTTGCCGCATAGGATCTGTTATCAATTTTTTTTTTAATTTGTAAATATTATTAAATGTTATTTATTAGATTTAAAATCTGCAATTAATAGACCAAATTCAAAACTCGCACCGATGTGAGGCTTAAGTTGTGAACAAAGGAATCTTGCGTGATTCGTGACTTTTGAATCACGCCAGATTACTTAGAGTCACGCCAGATCCCTTTGTTCACAACTTAAGCCTCACATCGGTGCGAGTTTTGAATTTGGTCTATAGATTTACTAATGATTTACAATCAGTAAATAATGTGGCTCATAGTAGCTTTTCCCTGACCACACTTCTGATTTTAAATCGGCAAATGATAAGTCCTATCGTTATAATTAGTACATTTTTTACCGTCCCCCCCCCCCCCAAAACTGTTGCGCATTCCTTCACCCATTAATTCAAGCACTGAATTAATAATGATAATAAATAATTAATCATTTAAAGGACTTTTTCTGAAAGTTCAAGGACTTTTCAAGGAAAATTCGAATTCAAGGACTTTTCAAAACCAATCCAAGACTGTACGAACCCTGTTCATATTTTACCCTGGTTTTTGTAGTAAATTTTTTACCTTTTTGAGGTAAAAAAAAATTCCTCCAGTTTGCCTTGGTATGTCCTCTATTTACTACTTTTTTCGTCATCTAGCCGTCCAAAGGCGAGTCCACAACATTTTAACGGCTAGAAATAAGAGGACATAGCAAGGAAAACTGGAAGAAAATGGTCAAGTCTCTTGTATTTCTGGTGTACACACTCGATTTAAGACTCAAAAAAGTGATTCGTGGGATATTTCGTGGCTTGTCACTCAAAACCATTTTAAAACTAGAAAATACCACGCGCACATTTTGATCACACCCACCTGAAGTGGAAAATCACGGAACTGTGAAGGAAGACAAAGGAGCGATGAAACCTTGACATCTTGGTACGTGCCTTTATCAACGAAATGAACCTACAGAGAATGAACATAATCACTGAGGTTCTATTATAATACCTACCAACATGCTGAGACAATATATGCATCAAGAGTTCCACGCTACTGCTCTAAGCGCATGCACAAGGGGTAAAAAAGTGGGACCATGGGTCGTAGAAATTGCTATATTTTAATCGTATTTCTATTATCAAGCACAACTTTCATAAAATATTCAAGAGCAAATAGCGATAAGCTAAAGTGCATGCAGTAAAACCATGAAATAGTATCTATTTAGTGACTAATTCTTCGTTTGCAATAGAAGTCATAGAAGCCATGTTGGAAGAATTTGACAAAAGATTTTTCAATGAATTCTTTTGTTATATCTTCCAACATGGCGGACATCCCTTTAAGTGGTGGTGCTCTCTTGGGATTGATTGCAAACCAAGAATAGTTGCTAGCACTCAGCCAGAACATTTATTAAACAAAAGACACAAATGGTCTCTTGTGTATTTGTCTTTGTATGATGAATGTTCTGGTTGAGTGATAGCAACTATTATTTAGTCGCTAAACAGCTACTATTTGTCAGTATCAACTATGATTTTATTTCATGGTTTTACTGCATGCGCTCTAATACCAAATCAAATATACCAAAATGTATCTACAGCAGAAGGATTACCTGTGCTTCCAGAGGTAAACCTGACTGAGGCATTTCCCGGACGACATCACAGACCTTCACTCTGAAGAACAAAGAAGATCAAATTACAACCCAAAGCGAATAGGTTTATAACCTGAGATCTCATATCTTTTTTCTTTGTTAAAAAGATATTCTTGTTCTAATTCAATGTGGGAAAAACAAATAGCGCATAAAAAAATCAACTTATTTGATGAGTTTCAAAAAGAAAGAAAATAGGTGCGAGATGCATATTAATGTTCTACTCGTGCGTCAACGTTGAAAAAGAAATCGTGGGAATGACAAGTGGTATGAAACGAGAAAATAAGGATTTCACAGCCTTATTTCATTTCAATCAACATGGCTACCATGGAGCCCCTTTATAGACCCCTAGAGGTGAAAACAAAATAACTCCCTTCTCCTGAGAATTGATTTTTTTACGCGAATATTCTCCATTGATTTGACCCCCATCGCCAAAACTAAAACTATAGAGCTTTTAAGTAGTGACGTATTTACGGGTCCAACTGCTCACAAAACCATTAAAAAGCGTTTAACCAAGAAATGATGTTTGGGGAATGACACGTGGTTTTAAATGGGAAAACATTACGGCCAAAGACGAGGAGGTCTATTCTGTTGAATCAAAAAAAACATTGCACAACCTTACCTGTGGTATGAGCCATCCTGCTCGAACGCATAGAGATCAGATATTCTTGGCATATCAATTCTCGTTCTGTTCTTCTCGTTAGCGTACCACATTCCCATCTCGACTGTCATCTGTAGGAACTGCGTACTTGTCGTGATGTTGTATGGTGTGGATTTGACGGTTTTGGGGGCTTTATGTTCTAATATACGAACCCACAGACAAGTTGCATTCATCACGTGAAGAACAAGGACCTTTACAGAAATAGAATCAAGAACGGTACAACTTTTCAAATTGCACTGATTGGAGTCAATAGCTAACGCAGTATTAAGAGTTTAGTCGCGGAAGGACATGCATAGGAGTCCCTTATTTTCTATCTGTGCCCGTGGTCTGGTATCCTGACCGATCATCCAAGCGCGCGCATGGGAAAATGCATTGTTAAACAACAAAACAAATTGCAAAAAAAAAGTGGAAAAGGAAACAGGGAAAAATATATAAGTAATAAGTAATTTACCGGTTTAAAGTCGGTCCGGAAAGGGAAAAACTGTGCCCTTGGTCTTGGAAACAGACATCGGCCTAACGGCCTCGGCCCGTATATATCCAGGACCTTGGACACAGTTTTTTCTATCCGGACTTCCTGCATGGCCGGTAAATAACATATATGTACCTTGACGCTGCCATTGGTCGGTAGGCAGGGGAGGTCTTCGTCTTTCAGCACCACGTGTCTCATGTTACACTTACGTTTGTCTGAAAACGTTCTTCAAGAGGGATACCATTGTTAATATAGACCCCTTGCATGTGACATCATAACAGCTCGATCTGGGGGACAAAACAAAAGAATCCCAATCTCCTGAGATCAGAATTGGAACTATTGTTTTGTCCCCAGATTGAGCTGCATTCCAACGTGGTGCAAAGGGTCTATTGGTAACTACAGTCAACCCTCGTTACAGCGGACACCCTCGGGGCCGTCGCTTCATGTCCGTAATAGCGAGTGTCAGCAATAGCGAGAATTAGTTACTCTACCTTTTTTCCCCTCGTTAATCCGAGCTACCTATTGAGCCTCCTTGGTACTAGGATTACCCTCCCTGCTAAAAAGACCCTTAATGGACTACTTCGACGATAACGGCGGCCATCTTGCTTCGCAATAAAGCTTTTTGGTTAAAGTAATAAAGTCGATTGATATGAACAGACAAGATGGCCGCCGTATCGTCGAAAGTAGTCCATTGAATAGATAGCCTGATATCGCACAAAATATAATTCAAAACCAATCAGTTGTGACTAAAGAAGGAAGAATACCTGCATGATCCGTAAGCCATCAGAAAATCACACAGTTCGTAGTTAAATTTCTCTCTTTCTYTTGCCTGAAAACAAAAGCACGACAGCTATTATTAGAACCAACACATTACTACCCACCCCTTCTAGGTGATCGATTAATACAGGAGATTTCGTATGACTATGGAACATATACGGTACGGACGTGCCGTGCCGTGACAGTGACAGCTGTGTCCGAGCATTTTGATTGGATAAGCAATCATCTCGTGCACTGTGATTGGTTCAAAGAAGATGCCAACTCTGTGACGTCAGTGCCGTAACGTTCACTACGACTCATACCAAATTCACTAGACTGCAAATTTTAGAAAGATGGACTTTATTGTAGCAGGTTAGAATCCATGAATCCATGCGGCAAAGGATTTTTATTTGTTTCAACTCAGAGGAGACCAAATTTTGGCTACGAAAAACACACCATGATGGTACCAGCAAAAACCCCAAGGATTTAAATTCCAATCCAGTCTGTGAATTACACATGCCCTGACTCAGATCAATAGTTAAGACGCTGTTTGAGGGTTCAATTTGTGAGTTAGCTGTGTCCTGACTTATATCAACCCAGAGGTTGTTTTATGGTTGCATCTGTGAGTTAGCTGTGTCCTGACTTAGATCAGCCCAGAGGTTGTTCCAGGGTTTGATCTGTGAGTTAGCCATGCTCTGACTTAGATCAGCCCAGAGGTTGTTCCAGGGTTTGATCCTGTGAGTTAGCCATGCCCTGACTTAGATCAGCCCAGAGGTTGTTTCAGGGTTTGATCTGTGAGTTAGATGTGTCCTGACTTAGATCAACCCAGAGGTTGTTTCATGATTCAATCTGCGAGTTAATTCGTTAATTCAAGTGAAGCCTACCATACGAGCTTCCTTGGCCATTTCCTCCAGAGAAGAAGAAGTAATCTTCCAAGGTTTGACGGAATCCCCATCCGTAGTGCTGTCTTCAGCTGGTGTGTGTTCTGATGTTCTTTGCACTAGTTGGTGGGCGATGGTTGACTGACGCAGACAGGTCTCTGTGATGAATATGACTGATAAACATCCGTGGTCCTAAAGAAAATAAAACAACATCAACAAAGGTAAAGCTGAGTTGAACCATTCCCACGTTATTGATATAATAGGGACCTTAAGCCGCAGGACAGCAACGTGGTCGACAACGTCGGCGAAATTCTGGCGCTTCAACCTTCTATTATATTATTATTTCGTGTTTACCTAGGATTGTACTCTATAAGCATCCCCGTTTTAGAGCGAAATGACGTCTTTTGGGAGCGCTTTACTTATAGCGAAAATCAGCAAAGATAAGCTTTTGACGTAGCCGTTCTCTTTAGTACGTACGTAAAAATAGGACATTTCACGTCTTATTTTCAGCAAGACGGCAACGATGCACAGTATTTCGTACATTCCAACGAGTATCTATTGGATAGCGCAATTAGTGCTATTGTATGGTTGCAGTCGTAGTCGTCGTTGCCGTCTTGCAGCTTAAGGTCCCTATTGCTTGGACTTCAATCAGTCGACAAAATTCCTCATTATCTGCTCCACACGGTGGTCAAACACTGACCACCATGTGCTGTCAGCCAGAAAGAATTCTATTTGAAAACTTGTGATTCAGCTGATGAACATTTACAGCAACGTTATTTTTTTTCATTTGGTGGCCTGGAAATCCATAATTTTAATACAAAAAGTGACACCTAAACAAATTTTCTTGATTTTGATTGGCTAATTTTTTTCTCATATCAGCTGGCTATTTCTGAAGTTTATCAAAGTTTACCTTAGTTGATGTGAATGTCCTAGACATGGTGAAAAATCGTTCTCCAAACTTCTCCTTGTTTTTGACGAGCGGCAGGTCGTAGTGGATGACCATTGATGCGTTCTGTACGGTGAGTTGTCTGCTCATGAGAACTCCGTCCGTCATCACTAAAAACAAGTATAACTATTAACATGCCTGATATTAAGATGTGTTTATGGTATATGCATCAAGTCTGTGCTGTGTGGAGTATACCAGTGTCTTGTACAATACCTACCTGGTATTGGCATCAGGTCTGTGCTGTGAGAGCTATATATCACTGTGTTGTACAATACCTACCTAGTATTGGCATCATGTCTGTGCTGTGTGGACTATACCACTGTCTTGTACAATACCTACCTAGTATTGGCATCAGGTCTGTGCTGTGTGGAGTATGCCATTGTCTTCTAGTATCGGCCAATTGCTGCGGATTTATAAACTCGTGAGCAACGAGCACAAAATAACTGCTTGTTTTCAGCGCTTCACCAAGGTTCTCAGCTTCCTCTGCTGTGTTTGTGAATATGACAATTTCGTGTGTCCTGTCAGCATTTTCTAGAAATCCTGAACACAAACAAAACAAACAATCAAACAAACAAGAAAAAATCAGGATAAACATTGTAATCTTCTGGGTATAAGCCCAATACGTGAAACGTTTTGCAGAACCACTACACCACGCAAGCCACCCATTAATGCATTGCCTGGGGGGGTACTCCCCTATATTTGCTATACGGGTATGTGCCGCCCTATAGGGTATGGTTTTTCGGCTTTTGGGTCTGGGGAAGGGTATCATTTTTTGACATTTTATCTGGGATAGGGTATCATTTTAGTCTGGGTTGGGTTAACTATTTGGTCGTTTTTGTCTGGCGAATAGGCTACGCTTTCTGCCGACACAAAAACAATAAAAATGTTAGTAAATATTGATTGCAATCGATTGTAAAACCGTATTTTCCTTTATTTAGTCTGGGATAGGGTGTACAATTCTTAGTTTTAGTCTGGGGTAGSGTATGTAAAATCAAAATTTTAGGTCTGGGATAGGGTCAGGGTTTTGAGGTCCTGGCGGCACACCCCTAACCAAGTTGGGGTGGTAGTACCCCTCCCCCCCCGGGATGCATTGAAACCATTCCCAAAAAAGTTTAACCTCACCTAAAAGATTTGAAAGCCTCTTACTGGCCGAGCAAAGTTCCACAGCCAATTTAACACCAGAGTAGATAGTGGCTTCGACCTTGTCATCCATAATGATCAATGGGTTACCAAGATACGCACGCACCAAGGACGCCACTCCTAAGGTCCACGACGACGTCATGATAACAGCTTGGCGTGGAGCAACACGACCGGGTTTAGACACCAACAATCGACCATAAACTCTCATAATTTCTTTTAATTCCGTGGTAAAGTCTTCGACAAGGAAGTCTGCACTGTCAAAGACAATGTGGCAGAGTCGGTCCAGCGTGGTGTAGCTTCTTGTGAGCATGCGTAGGAAGCAAGGAACAGTAGCGACGAGTATCTCGCAGCCATTGATGAGTGGGACAACTTGTTCTTCTTCTGCTCCTCCGCAGAATATAACATGTACTCTGGCTCTTCTTCGAGGACCAAGGATTTTATTGCATTCTTTGTAGATGTCTATGGCGTTGCTCCAACTATTGCACAGTATTAGGGCTAGAGGCTGTGGAATGAAAGTACAATAAAATATCAGCTGCAAACGTTGCTTATAGAATATATTGCTGGCGACAGAATTTTCAAGCGGGGTCATACGTCACAATAGGGACTTTTAGATCCATCGACGAGTAAGAGATCGAGTACTAGTACAAATTTTAAAATTGGTCCTGTGCGTGTGGTTAACACCGTATCGTAGTGGATTTACGATTTTTCACAATCTAGAGTTTCAATCTACGTACACGACCACAACTATGGAATGATAGTGCTAATCTTTAAAAGTTAAAAACTCGTACTCGTTCTCGTCGTCAAATCTAAAGGTCTCTGTTTCCTGCAACAAAACTAAGAATCGAAGAAAGCTGCAATCTAGATACGCGGTGCGACTGTTGCGTGCTATACGTTACTTGCAATAGACTTTTTAGTGGTGTCACACGTAGCTATTTTTCTTGCAACAAAACTGTGAATCAAGGAAACCTGAATCGCAGAGTTTTACCAGTGGCGCAGGGAGATCTCTGGACCAGGAATACGCGCAGTATTTGGTTGAGAGGTAAGGGCTCTGGGTACTAGAATAAAGCGTTTTACTAAAACTTCCTTATTGTAGGACAGGAACAAAGCGAATATAATTTACACAAAAATTTCAATAAGTTCGCCCTAAAACATGGCTACCTTGAAATATTTTTTTTATTTCTTTAACTTTTCAAGCAAAATATTCTAACGATTCTAAGCCATGTGGGATTAGGTCAACTCCGTGTGCACATGCGCGACGGCAAATTAAGGCAGTGTGATACCAACCCCATTAGTTAGCGGTAACTCTGAATACGCAGCAGGGTCCAAGACTTGATCAACAATCGGTAACAAGTACGCCATTTTTCTTCCCGCAATCTTGGGCGCAACCGCAGCAACATCTCTCCCTCGGAGGAGCGCCGGCCACATGTGCCTCTGCAATGGAGTAGGAGTTTGGATATCCAGTCTTGAGCCATATTCGTAGAGAGGACAGTTTGCTAACGCTGTGAACGGCCTTGGGATGCCATCCCCATGGATTAACACGCCGTCTTCGAGGGAGGACACAGATTCACAAGACGAAGGAGAAGATTGAGAGACTAGGTCTGAGGGAAGGCGTGAGGCCGGTTTTGAGTTGCATTGTGCCAATATTTCTGAAGGAAGACGAGATGTAGGTTTTGCATTGCTTTGTTTAACAATCTCTTCAGATAGCCGATCTGATGATCGAGGAAGAATTTGCGACGGCATTCCATGCGACAAAGACTGAGCCACTTCTGGGGGACGTTGCGTGAATTCTTCTCTCGCCCTTGGAGACATATTTGGCATTCTTGCAGTGTGACCCTGTGTAGCCAAATGCTGCTGATCCATCACCTTGGCAACCCTAGAACCTGCAGAATCAGTTGCCCATTCTCCGGTATGCTGCCTGGATAAGGGTGCATCCATTTCTGTGTGACCATGAGCGAATTCCTCTTGTACCCTTGGAGGCAAACCTGGCAATCTTCCCAAGGGATGCGTAGCGTTGTAAATGGAAGCTCCATCAAACTCTTCTCTCGGTGAAACACTTGCTGCTATCCTTTCAGTGGGATACTGCGATGCCCAAGMCTGCCGCCCTACTTCTGTGGCGGTATCAGCGAATTCTCCATTGGCCCTTGGTGAAACAGCAGTTTCCATTTTACTTGGGTGTTGTAGGGAGCTACTGTCAATATTCATTCTATTCTTCGCTAGTTCATCCCGCTGTTCCATCACTCTGTATCTCCCAGTTTCCTGATCACTAGACGAACTACTATAGTGATTCCCAGTTCTACTAGACTTCAGTATTGACTTCAGTTTAGCAGTATCATTGTCTTTAGACAAATACCGTGCACCGCTGCCAGTGGCGGGTATCCTTGCAGAAACAAAGCGCACCCTTCCTGAATCCTCATCACTTGACGGTGAGAACATTTCTCTACCTTGGGCGTCTCTTTCTCTAAAATCAGAAGCACGTTCTTGAGACATCGTTTTTCCCTGCTTTTTATACGAAGGGAGTGAAGATGAAGACCTATTCTCAGCGCCAGCAGGAATGTAACAAACAGGCAGGCTATTTGGTCTTGGTGTTCGAATTTCGGCGACTTGTTGTCGAAGAACGTCTAAAGGGTTGAAATTTCTGACATCTTCTTGAAAAGAGCTTCGACGATGGGAAGGAAATTCATCGTCAGTACTCGTGCTTTCTTGTGGCTTCTCGTCCTTGTACTGTTGGTTTGGCATGTGAATACTCTTCTTGAAGGCATTGACAACCTCTTGTTGAGCTTGTACAAACTGTTCTTGTTGTGCTCTGAGTCTTTCTGTTTTTCGTGGGCTCTCATCTTAAAAAACACATTAAAAATTTACCACATTATCATTGCTACGTGCAGATCGAGACAAAACTCGCGACAAGTAAATAGGGGCAAGGTCGCAGCTCTAATAAGAGCTAACCCAATTGGATGAATATAATAGTACGAGAAACAATAGTAACAAAATATCAGAACGAGTCGAGAATAAAAACTATTGTGTTTTTTGTTGTTGTTGTTGTTGTTGTTTTGTTTTGTTTTGTTTTTGACAATCTCGACAGCTCTTTTTGGCGAGTGCGACATTACTGGGAAATGGGGCAATAAACCTCTTCACCTTGAGTGTATCATAATTATTTTCCCATGTCAGACCACGTATCATTTTCATTAGAATAAGATTCCATGTTTGAGTTGTTTCCATAGTCATGTGTCTTCTCTAGGGAATGACACGTGGTCTGAAATAGGAAAACATTAACCCAAGGTAAAGAGGCCTATCGATTACCGTCAATCAAATAATTAATTCTTAAAATAATAAAAAGTACCTTTTACTGACTGTGAATCATCAAATACTGCAAACCCTCTTTGAACAAGTTCATCGTTGACACAAACCTGAAAAAAAAACAAATTCCATAAATCAATAAAACTGCCCATTCTAACAGACACTGGCAAACCAGGCAAACCAAGTTCCAAAAGGAATAGAACATTTTTGAATTCGTACAATAGGTAATATTTTCCCATTCGATACCAAGTGTCATTCTCTTGAGTATTATTGCATTTTTTAACAGTTGCACATGAGAAAACGCATAATTATGGTTGCAGCTCAAACAAAGAATCTTATTCTAAAGAATGATCATCATACCCAACTGATAAACAAAGAAATGATACTCTAGGGAATGACACATGGTCTGAAATAGGAAAACATTGCACCCTTGCACCCAAGCTAAAAAGGCCTATCATTATATGGCACGCGCTACTTCCGGTAAAATCGTGCGCTCTGATTGGTTCCTTGGCGGGCAAAAATATTCCCAACAGTATATGTCTATTTTTAGCAAAAAATGTCATTTTATTAACCTCGCTTTCCCGGATTTTTCGGGAACATATAAGACCTTGGTATTTTACGCATGTACTGTCAAGGAAATAGACTAAATCAGATACCTCTTTGTCAAGGGACTCTGCGTAGAGTAGCACATGGTATCTACCCTTATCATCTTCTTTCTGGATCGTTACTTGCAGCTTGCAGCCTGTAATATATTAAACATTAAAGAGAATCTAAGGATGGATGGTTGGATGGGATGACACATACTCTTACACCAAAGCTACGTAGGTCTATTGTTGCTCAAACTGAACAAAAGAAAGTGTCATTAGGGGAGGCAGCATGGTCAAGTGGTTATAGCGTCAGTCTCGCAACCCAGTGATGCTGAGTTCGAGTCCCACTGTGGCCACTAGCTGAGACTGTATTTGTCCCGATTCCTGATTAGTTCAGATTCAGTTTCTCGACCATGCTCGTAAATAGTCAACTGGTTAGCCTCCTTGCCAGTTGGGATTCTTATAGACACATGTTCTTTGACTATTTCATCTTTATTTCAGTTTCATTTCAGTGTCCCCCATTAGTTGTATAAACTATTAGTAAATACATTGGCACATAAGTAAAGTTAAATTAAGTGAAGTATTTATTTTATTTTTTATTTTTTCATTACTTGGGACTCGGGTAGCTGTAATAAATATCGTAAGAGTGATTTTACTTAGCCCACAAAACAAAGTTGTATAATATAATTAGTGACTAACACTCAAAGTAAAAGAAAAAAACAATGGAATAAGTCTCTACTGCTATGTATTTATGATTAGAATGTAAACCATGTACTGTATAAGTGAAAAACTTTTCTAAGAAATGTGCACAAATTATTAAGTTCAGTAAACCATAGACGTTAACTTTTTTTAAAGTTAACTTTTTCACTAATATAAYTATGGTATGCACTGTACTTTTTTTTCACAGACAAAGTAAAATCACTCCATGTTGCAAACGCCCTACAGAAAGACAACAAGCAAGTTGCTAAAAATACACATACAAAAAACCACAAATACTTGCTGATAATTCATTCAGCAAGGGAAGCGTGAATTAAAGTGCCTGTGCCATGTAACTATCCCCGATAATCTTCATTAAATGCAATACCTTTCAATATGCTACTCTCAAAAGTAACAAAATACAAATATGTTGCGAGAGAAAGAGATAAACTACTTGACATACCATGGATGAGGTCAAGAACAAACTTGGTTGCAGCTTCAGTCCACTTGTCACTGACTCTGAGATAAACCGAGAGGGACCGTTTATTATTTATCGAGGGGGGAGGGGGGGGGGGGAAGAGGGATTTGAAATATTGTGTAGTTCCAAAAATTATCCAACCCCCCTCACGGAGGAATTTTTTTAAGACACCCCCCTACCCCCCGGAAATTCCAATTTTGTTCCATACAAACTCTGTAATTTTTGTTCTTTCTCTGACCCCCCTACTCTTCGGAAATTCCAAATTCCTCTGTGGGGTGGGTATGGATGATTTCTGGAACTACACATTAGTTGTCTTGAACTGAAAATGGGGTCTTGAAATATTTGAAAATAAAGTCATGGTGTAAGACTTCAAAGCGTCATATATTTGCATTATTCTACGCTGTTAAGCAGACAGTAAATTATAACTTGTAAATTGTAACTTATTTAATTTTTTCCTCTTTATTTTTTGACATGCTTTGCAATCTGTTATCCCATGCAAGCATGCTGACAATGTCAGGATACAGGGGCTAGATACCAAGAAAAGCCAACCTCTCAAACAGCCAATCAGAATGCTTGGCTTTTAGGATCATACTGCAACAGAAATAACTAAATCACAGTAATCATATCCATGTCACTATTTCATCATACATCAATATCCATACATTAAACAGGTTTCTTACATGGCTTCTTGAAGATATGAATTTTATCTTCTTCCATTGAAAATATCACTCACTCGTTCACTACACTCAAGTGTAATAGATATTTTCAACACTTGAAGACAAAATGTGTAACTGACACATAACATGATTGTCATATTATTTATGTATCACATAGCTCTTCATACAATGCTCCATCAGCTCTCAGTAATTGCCCTTTCCTCCTCCGTGTCTGGAACTACAAAATGGACCCTCCTTACAAAAATTTTCTGCCTTGAATATGGAGCTAACATGACAATACAAAAGAAATGCCACAAATTCCATCGAGAAAAAGTGCGATTTTTGAATTTCCATGTTAGCCTCGCATCCAAGATTTTTGAGAAGGGTTACCCTTGGAAGCTCAAGCTTTCATAGCAGAGGAATGGATATTTCTGCATCTATCACTTACTGTTTTGTAGTTGTGAGATCAAAGTAAGATGTAACCAAGCTGAGAGGCTTTACTGCTGTCAGGATACATTCCATCACTTGAAATGGAATGTTTTCAAACTCCTTTGGTATCTCACAGACCCTAGGTTATTGATATAAACAAGGCAAAAATAATATGAAAATACTATATATAGAGAGAGAGTGATTTTACCCGGGGGGGGAGGGGAGAGTCCAAGAAAAAGTACTGTGGATGCTTGTCGGAAATTTTCAAAAAGACCCCTAAAAGATACCACACGTCTTTAAAAAAGGGCGTGGCTGAATGATTTTTAACCCTTAAGAGATACCACAACAAATAATATTAAATTTTCTATAAAAAGCGCCTAGGATAAGCAATATCAATGCGCCCTTCTCTCCTTTTCCGACACCCTAAGAGATACCAGTTAAATGATTTTCAAAAATTCGCATTTAACACCCTAAAAGATACCAAATCGTGAATTTTTACCCCCTAAGAGATTTACTAGTAGCAGTAAACACTAATTCTATTGTTTTCTTTTGTCTTTCTTAGTCAATAATTTATAAATAATGATAACAATGTAATAATGATAATCATAATTTTATAAGGTCTCTTTGATTACTCATTTAAAAATCTCAATGCAATCAAAAAAGTTAAAAATAATTGATGAAATACTAATTATACAGCTTTGTTTTGCAGACCATGTAAAATCACTCTAATGTATACATGTATTTTATACAATTTTCCAAGATGGCATCTATTTTGTCCCTAAAAAAGCCCGAAAATGTATTGCAATGCCAACTTGGGGAGAGAGACGGGGTGGGNGGGGGGGGGGGGGGGAGGGGGTGGGGTGGAACTAATCACACTCCCCTAACCACTCTCCCATCCTGTTCTCTGCATTAAGACTATATTTGGTAATAACCCTGTTCTATTAACGCCTCAGAGGTCTTCTGGCACAATTACCCTACCAATCAGGGAGACCAAAAATAATGCTCATTATGCCACCCTGGCTTGTTTAAATTTTGAATTTATATTTTTCACTTGACAGTGGAACCAAAATACCTTCTAGCCCAGATATATAACATATATTATTATTAAATATATCATCCCTCATCGATAGCAAGATCTCTACCCCCCTCCCCACCCAACCCTCAACCACATACACACAAACATTTACACTTGTATTATCCCTCATCAATAGCAAGATCTCTACCCCAGTCCCCACCCCACCCCCAACCACATACACACAAACATTTACACTTGTATTATCCCTCATCAATAGCAAGATCTCTACCCCCTCCCCACCCCACCCCCAACCACATACACACAAACATTTACACTGTCTTGTATTGTCCCTCATCAATAGCAAGATCTCTACCCCCCTCCCCACCCCACACCCAACCACATACACACAAACATTTACACTTGTATTATCCCTCATTCAATAGTTAGATATCCATTCCACACAAAAAGGTTTAATGATAAATATGAAATATGAAACTGAATAAATTAAATAGGAATACTTAACCTTACCTGGAAAAAGGTATTAAGGTTTGTTCTCCGACATCTACCAATAACACACTAAAAAATAAGAATGATAATGATAATAATCACAATAATGATGACAATATAATAATATTGATTATGTAGTTAGGATAGTCGTGCACCCTGATTGGTCGAAAACTGTGCTTTATTAGTGAACAGAGCACAGTGCTGACGCCATCCTCACGCATGAAGTGCTGCCAGATCTTTTTTTAATTTTTTTAATTTTAGCTAGGTCTTTATTTTTGCATAAATACGTTCAATACTGAAGTAAAGTTAAAGTCATAAAGCCTTGGCTTGCACTTCTCCTTACACTTCTTTCATGCTTATGTCACTTCCTAAGTGCTTTTATTACTGAACACAGCATGAAAAAAGCTGTTTTATTTGTTTATGATAATACACTATTAAGAATAGCAAAATGATGATGATAATTGGTATGGTCATGCAAATAAAAAATGATATTGTCATTTTTTTTTAAATAAATGAATAATGAATGAACGACCATGTGAACAAACAAATGACTGAATGGTGAGTTCGGTACCTTGCTTGTGGACCTGCGGTAGTTTGCATGATATTCTGGATTCTTGCGCGGTACCAGCATTTATCCATTGTGCGTTGCACCACATAGAGCTAAGACCAAGAAGAGAACAGTGGTAACAAAGCCTTTGATTAGTCTTTGTCAGGGTTTAGCACAGTTCTGTCTTTCATCACTAACATACTGACACAAGTCTATTCAAAATTACAGTCTCACAATCTCATGAACTACAAACAAACAATCTTTACTCCGACGATTAAGGCTAGYGTCCGAAACATCAGTAAGTTTTTTCATCTTTTCACGGTGTAAAATTTACCCTTTTATCATTACTGCATATAGTAAACAGATCATTACATGGCTTCTTGAAGATATGAATTTTATCTTCTTCCATTGAAAATATCACTCACTTGTTCACTACACTCAAGTGTAATAGATATTTTAAACACTGGAAGAACAGAACAGTAGTAACAAAGCCTTTGATTAGTCTTTGCCAGGGTTAATCACAGTTCTGTCTTTCATCACTAACATACTGACACAAGTCTATTCAAAATTACAGTCTCGCAAACTCATGAACTACAAACAACAAAACCATTACTAATCTTCTTCTTGACTTTGGTGGAAAATACAAGTTCCTTTCCTGTACCATACCTTTTCTTTCTCAGGGATTACAGAGTTAGAAGTCCTGTTTCCTTGATACAAGAAATAGTCATTCAGTCTTCCCATGAAGTTCTCAAACTCAGAGCCTGGCATGACGATGGGTGATGCTTTAAAATGACCTGCATCTATCAGCTGATCATGAAAAAGCAATAAAATCATTAGTATCACCTAGTTTATATTCATCTTATTTCCCTGTGCCAAGTGTTTACTGGTCTAATCTAGGTCACTGAGGCATGTCTAGCTCACAGATCCAACCCTGAAATGACCCCTGGGCTGATCTAAATCTAAGTCAGGGCAAGGCTAACTCACAGATCAAACCCTGAAACAACCTCTGGGTTGATCTAAATCTAAGTCAGGGTATGGCTAACTCACAGATTGAACCCTGAAACAACCTCTGGGCTGATCTTAGTCAGTGCATGGCTAACTCACAGATCAAACCCTGAAACAATCTTTGCGATGTTCTAAGTCAGGGCATGGCTAACTCACATATTGAACCCTGGAACAACCTCTGGGCTGATCTAAGTCAGGGCATGGCTAACTCACATATTGAAACAACCTCTGAAACCCTGAAACAACCTCTGGGCTGATCAAAGTC